AGAATAAAAATGGAATGTCACAGTCATTGTTTTACTTTCTGTTGCTATCAATAAATCTCACCTGTAGAATTCCCCTGAAATGAGGCTTGAGCAAAGTACACGGGACTTACTTTACTGGGCAACTAAGATATGAGTGTGCCGTTTTTAAAACAATTTATGGATATTCATGTGATTGAAGAGGATCAGCTAGTGACCCTGCCCACTGGCCACAGATGTCAATTCAACGTCTATTCCAAGTTGGTTTAATTTAATTTAATTTAAATCGAATCAAATCCATTTTTATTTGTCACATGCGCCAAATACAAGAGGTGTAGGACTTGCCGTGAAATGCTTACTTACAAGCCCTTAACCAACAATGCAGTTCAAGAAATGACCAGTGTGTGCCCATGGGTGAGGTTACACGCAAGAACATTACCCACTGCACTGTTGTGAAATAAAGATCCAGATTTCTTAGCGCCTGAGGTTGTGAGACTATCGCACTTCAAATTGGAAAAGTCATGCCCTGAAGTTTATGATAAACACAATCTCAATCACAGGAATAAAAAGGACATTCCAGTGGAATGTCACGGTCATTGTTTCACTTTTGGTTCCTATTAATAAACATCAGTGGTGGAAAAAGTACCCAATTGTCATAGTTGAGTAAAAGTAAACATACCTTAATAGAAAATGACTCAAGTAAAAGTGAAAGTCTAAAAGTATTTGGTTTTAAATATACTTAAGTATCAAAAGTACATGTAATTGCTCAAATATACTTAAGTATCAAAAGTAAAAGTAAAAGTACAAATAATTTCAAATTCCTTATATTAAGCAAACAGATGGCCCCATTTTCATTTTTTTTACGGAAGGCCAGAGGGAACACTCCAGCACTCAGACATAATTGACAAACAAAGCATGTGTGTTTAGTGACTCTGCCAGATCAGAGGCAGTAGGGATGACCAGGGATGTTCTCTTGATAAACGCGTGAATTGAATCCTTTTCCTGTCCTGCTAAGCATTACAAATGTGACGAGTAATTTTGGGTGTCAGGGAAAATGTATGGAGTAAAAAGTACATTATTTTCATTAGGAATGTAGTGAAGTAAAAGTTGTCAAAAATATAAATAGTAAAGTAAAGTACAGATACCCAAACAAACTACTTAAGTAGTACTTTAAAGTATTTTTACTTAAGTACTTTACACCACCTGATAAATATGTAGAATTCACCTGTTGAAATGAGGCTTGAGGAACTATTATGTCCTTCCGCGTCCATATATGGGTTGATGCGTTTTGCGTTCCCCTCCCATTCGTCAGAGTTCTCATTTCATTCGTCACGTTTTGCTACAGAAGCGTGGCCACGCCCTCTTTTAAACTGAGGAATTCCTTTGCCCCGCCTTTTTCCGTGACTCGCTCCAATCATCCCCCAAAAATCTAGCTAGCTAAGTAAACGAATGCATTGCCTATTTTGATCGCAGAATCAATTTGGTATCGATAGACAACGCATGGACACATCTAGTTTTGTTTGTGTCGACGAACGTAAGAAAAATACCTTTCTAGGCTGTGCTACCTAATTTTTTCAAGGTAGCTGGCTTAATAGCCTCGAATCACAGCACAGGGTTAGTTATCAGTACAGTAATTTAGCTAGCTATCTTTGCTCGAAGTGTGGGGTGCCTATTGTGTTAGCTAACCAACTACGGTTAACAGCTATCTGATTTGCTGTGTTTGAAATATTTTGACACTGAGTTGTCTTCATTCTCATCACCGGTGGATATGGGACTACTTTTTACCAAGCTGATGACTGTCTTCGGAGACAGAGGTAATCATTTGTGTGCCTGGATACATTTAGCTAATTTACTGCTATTATTGTTGCTCTTAAGTAATCTCCACTCAGTGCCTGATCATTTCTGCTTGATTGGTTTGCTAACGTTAGCTGCTTTGTAGCACAGTATTGTTATGGACTGGACTTAAATTCGGAGAAAACGCAAGAAAAGCTGTTAGACACAAGTTGTTTTTGTTTCAACATTTGGTTGCTGATTTTCAATAACGTTAGTGACAGCTTCAATAATGGTCAATTTCGGCAAACTCATTGTGCTTCAATAAGCCTAGTTAGCTAAGTTTCTAACCACACCGGGCACCTTCCAATAACTGGTTAATTTCTGTCAGACACGAGCTAGTCCATACTGGATGTTCTGTTCACTGTGTCAACGTTCTACACACGTGTCCCGTGTAATTATCTGTTTTCTATGTAGCGTTAGTGATGGTGAATTGCAGTAATATTATGCAACCAATAACATTTTGTCAAGCAGTACTGTTTACCTCGTTGATGAGATGATGGCAGGGTATAGATCGCTGGGGTTGACTATCGGGGTCAAATGGTCCTTGTTTTACCTAATAGTAACACTGCAAACAAACACAGAGAGGTATTGTCCCTTTGGATAATAAAGAACGTCTGCACATGTTTTTCAGATCTGGTATTTTAATGCATGACTAGACTCTTCAAAGAGAGTCCATCAGTTAGATGTGTTATCATAGTGATGATTGATTAGCTTTGGGGTCACAGATATGTGAATGGCAATCCGTGTGTTTGTTATGTAGAAGTGTGTAAACTACTTTTCTCTTTTGTTCTCTCATAGAACACAAAGTGATTATAGTGGGCCTGGACAATGCTGGGAAGACCACTATCCTCTACCAATTGTGAGTGATATCAAAATAGATTTGTATAGTTCATGATCAGATTTATGCAAATTATATTTATAATCACTTAGTCATATCAATCACTCTGTCCCCTCAGCCTTACCAAAGAGGCGGTCCACACCTCCCCCACCATTGGCAGTAACGTAGAGGAGATCTCTGTACGCAAGACCCGCTTCCTGGTGTGGGACATCGGAGGCCAGGAAAGCCTGAGAGCCAGCTGGAACTCCTACTACTGCAACACAGAGGTACGGATCTGTTGGTGTGTGTTCAGCAGAAAGTCTTTGTCGAGGTACAGCATGTGTGTTTTCGTTTACGTAACAAAGTGTGCACTTGTGTGTTGGTTTCTGGCCAGTTACAGCTAGAGTAGAAATAGAACCCTGATGAAGGTGTTGATGCCTAAACACTTTTTGCTTGAACTTCCCTTTCCCTCCAAGACTCTCTGAATAGCTACAGCTGGCGACAATATGTTTTTCAGCTGTCCAGCGATCAGGCCAACACTGAGTTATTACACATTAACCAGCAGATGATTGTTGTTGTCATTGATAAAGCATGGGAAGACTATTACATCATCTGTTACAGAACCAACCATGTCAGTCTGCTGTCCTGAGTATCCCTCTAACACTCATACTCAGACTGTTACTGAAATCATATTCAACAGTTATGAGATGAGAGCACTCAGAGCCAGAGGTACAGTTAAGTGAGTAAGTTGGTCCCCTTTGGCAAGTGTATTCAGTTGGCTTGATTGTTTTGTCTCTCTTCAGATTGTGATTCTGGTTGTGGACAGCACAGACCGTGAGCGCCTAACTCTGAACAAAGATGAACTTCACCGCATGCTTGCACATGAGGTAACAACCACCTGTTTTTTTTGGGGGGGAAGTGGGGAGAGGGGGTTCAGTTCAACCTCACTGTTTAGATTTTTTTTCTGAATACCAGTTTCAAATACAAGAATGCACCCTATTCATTCTTAACTTCCTTTTTCCTGTAAATGATGCACTGGAAATATTAGCCGATTGGTATTTCCTTATTGTATCAACAGGTGAATGAGTGAGGATTACTTTTTAAAACAAGGGCACTTCCGTTTTCTAGGTTGTTTACATGTTCCATTGTCACTCACCTTATGTAGCTTTTTGAAGGTGCAATATGCAGAAATCGCTCCGCCATTTCCTGTTTGAAAAAATTATAATTGTTCACCTAATTTCAGTTTATGTGACAAAACAAGCAAATATAGTGTAGAAAATCGTTGTGAAAAATATTTTTATAACCAGAAATATTGTTTTTTCAGCTGTTTGAAGTTGGTGTATAAAACCGCTTGCTTTCAATGAGAATGACATATCTATAACTCACATTTCTATGTGAATTTGGTCGGGTCGCCCAAAAAGTTACATATTGCAGCTTTAACATATTGACGCGTGAGCTCTGTTCATGCTCTCAAGATGACTCATATCACCACTAACAAACAAACTGATTACAAAACCATGATGGGTTGTTTCACCATTTTCCCTGTGTGAATCAGTGCATTGACAGCTGAGCTGTTCAGTTTCCGTTCCGCTGACACTGCTCTTTTCTATTATCTGAGACGTCACAGCGGTGAAATTCTGTAGATTTCCACAGGAAGCTCTCAGATGTGTAAATATGTTGAATATAAAAACGAGAACCGTGCCTATCTCGCTTCTCTCCTGTCCTGTCTGACTGGTGTGTGTTGTACCTACAGAATGTAACCCTGCTTATCTCTCCTGTCCTGCCTGACTGGTGTGTAGGACCTACAGAATGCTGCGATTCTAGTTCTGGCCAACAAGCAGGACATGAAGGACTCTATGACGGTTGCAGAGATCTCCCAGTGCCTCACCCTCAGCTCCATCACAGCCCACTCCTGGCATGTACAGGCCTGCTGCGCCCTCACAGGGGAGGGGTGAGTACACTGTGTAACTACAGACACACCTGGGCCTCCTCTCTCTGTGTGTCTGTCTGTTATAACATTCCCATCATAAATAACCTTAAGTCACTCAAACACAATTACATTTTCAAAACTATGTCCATCTCTTTCTCCTAACCTCCAGACTACCTGCCAGTCTGGACTGGATGAGGTCTCGTGTACTGGCCAGTTAGAACTCCTTCCGTTGGCTCATCCCAATTGGAACCAGGACAGCTATCCTTTGACCCAACAAACACAACCTCTCAGACGTCGCAGCCGAAGCCACAGTGCCCAGATTAGGACCTCCACTATCTGTAGTGACACTGCCCCTCTGAGCCCCAGGGCTGGCCCCAGACCTGCCCTGTCACCCTCATGCCTTACCCAGCCCTTAGTGTGTCTGCAAGGGCTGACCAGGGTCCAGGTCTGCCTCGGGATAGAGGAGGCCTGGAGGAACTTGGCAGAACCTCAACTAGGCATGCCAGGGTGTGCCAGTGTGCATGTGCGTTAGCATCTGTATGTGTTTTGTGTGTGTGAGACTCCGTTCTAGAGGTCCACCATGTTTACATAAGAATCCCTACCTGTCAGACCTGATTCTATAAGGGTGACACAGTATGTCCCACATAAGCTGACTAGTGACTTATCACAGTATTGAAGCCTCTTGTCCTCATGAACTCAACAGAGATAGAATGGGAGGTTGCATCTGATTTCTTTAACATACAGATTTGTACTTCTGACCACAGTACAACTGGTTAAAAGAGGCCAGACCTAATGCTGATCACACTGGTGCTCAGCCTTCTAACCTATCAATGCACAAATTACTTGAAGTATTTATATCAAAGAAGGAAAAGGGAGTTGCTTGACAGTGAAAAATAGTAGCATGCTTGCTGTTAAAAAAGTAAGATAACAAACAAGTATTGTCTGGTTTTAAAACAGGTTAATCATGTATTTTTTATACATATACAGTCGCTATGTATTTTACAGTGTACAAAATATTTGTTTTCAAATAAATGTTATTGATAAACTGTTGACTGGGCTGCTGCCTTTGTAGTAGGGGAATTACAGATGGAACAATTTGGGAATGTCTGAACCAATGATTTATGTACTGCAAAAAAATATAAACGCAACATGCAACAATTTCAAAGGTTTTACTGAGTTACACTTCATAGAAGGAAATCAGTCAATTGAAATAAATATATTAGGTCCTAGTCTATGGATTTCACATGACTGGGCAGGGGTGCAGCCATGGGAGGGCATAGGCCCACCCACTTGGAAGCCAGGTCAACACACTGGGGAGCCAGGCCCAGCCAATCATAATGAGTTTTTCCCCACAAAAGGGCTTTTTACAGACTGTAATACTCCTCATCTTTTATTTCAGCTCATGAAAAAATGCACGTTACATGTTTTTATTTTTGTTCAGTATATACAGTACCAGTCAAAAGTTTGGACACACCTACTCATTCAAGGGTTTTTCTTCATTTTTACTATTTTTTACATTGTAGAATAATTGTGAAGACATCAAAACTATGAAATAACACATATAGAATCATGTAGTAACCAAACAAGTGTTAAACAAATCAAAATATATTTTTTATTTGAGATTCTTCAAATAGCCACCCTTTGCCTTGATGACAGCTTTGCACACTCTTGGCATTCTCTCAACCAGCTTCATGAGGTAAAAAAATATATTTTAGTTTAACACTTTTTTGGTTACTACATGATTCCGTATGTGTTATTTCATAGTTTTGATGTCTTCACTATTATTCTGCAATGTAAAAAATAAAGAAAAACCCTTGAATGAGTAGGTGTGTCCAAACCTTTGACTGGTCCTGTATATACACTAGATCAATGGTTCCCAACCTTTTTTGGTTACTGTACCACCAACTGAACTTTGCTCTGCCCGGAATACCCCGTGAATTTTACCTGTAGGTCTATGGTTTAATGAGTCTTCTCAAGTATCCTCGATGGATAGGCCAAGTACCCCCAGGGGTCCTAGTACCCCTGGTTGGGAACCACTGCACTAGATGACTGACAGGTGTGCTGTTTTGAAGCCACCTCAACTCCATCTCGGCACTCCCCAACCATTGTAAAAAATCCACCTTGGCACTCCCCAACCATTGTAAAAAATATTTTGGAAGCTATATAAATTGATTTATTAATGTCTACATTTGTTTTTGCCAGGTTTATGCTATTACATACACCTTAATGCATAATTATTGAGCTAAACATAAAAATGGAAAAATATATTAAAATATTTTCCTTTAAGGTGCGCTATGCAGAAATCGCTCCGCCGTTTCCAGTTTGCTTAAACAAGCAATGTGTAGAGAATCACTGTACCATTTTTTTATAACCAAAAATATTGTATTTTCAGCTGTTTGAAGCTGGTGTACAAAACCGAATGTAAAAGACTAAAAAAACTAAACTTAAGAACTGGAAGCATAGAAATAGTGCAGATCTACCACTTCTTAGACTTGCTTTCAATGAGAATGACAGATCTATAACACACATTTCTATGTGAATTTTGTGGGGTTGCCGAGGTGCCTTATTGTTACCAACGTAATTAGAGCAGTAAAAATAAATGTTTTGTTATACCAGTGGTATAAGGTCTGTTATAAACTGGGTAGTTCGAGCCCTGAATGCTCATTGGCTGACAGCCGTGGTATATGGTCTGATATACCACGGCTGTCAGCCAATGAGCATTCAGGGCTCGAATTACCCAGTTTATAACAGACCTTATACCACTGGTATAACAAAACATTTATTTTTACTGCTTTAATTACATTGGTAACCAGTTTATAATAGCAATAAGGCACCTCGGGGGTTTGTGGTATATGGCCAATAAACCACAGCTAAGGGCTGTATCCAGGCACTCTGCGTTGCGTCGTGCATAAGAATAGCCCTTAGCCGTGGTATATTGGCCATATACCGAGGTGCCTTATTGCTATTATAAACTGGTTACCAACGTAATTAGAGCAGTAATTACGTCCGTGTTGCGTCATGCATAAGAACAGCCCTTAGTCGTGGTATATTGGCCATATACCACACCCCCTTGTGTCTTATTGCTTAATTATAAACTGGGTGGTTCGAGCCCTGAATGCTGATTGGCTGACATACCACGCGTATGACAAAACATTTATTTTTACTGCTCTAATTACGTTGGTAGACAGTTTATAATAGCAGTAAGGCGCCTCAGGGGTTTGTGGTATATGGCCTATATACCACGGCTAATGGCTGTGTCCAGGCACTCCATGTTGCATAAGAACAGCCCTTAGCCGTGGTATATTGGCCATATACCACACTCCCTCATGCCTTATTGCTTAAATATACCACATCTGTCAGCCAATGCGCATTCAGGGCTCGAACCACCCAGTTCATAATGGCAATTATAAATTGGGTGGTTTGAGCCATGAATGCTCATTGGCTGACAGTCTTGGTATATCAAACCATATACCATGGGTATGACATAACATTTATTTTTACTGCTCTAATTACGTTGGTAACCAGTTTATAATAGCATTAAGGGATGTAGCTCAGTTGGTAGAGCATGGCGTTTGAAACGCCAGGGTTATGGGTTTGATTCCCACGGGGGGGGGGCCAGTATGAAAAAAAATAATGTATGCACTAATTGTAAGTCGCTCTGGATAAGAGCATCTGCTAAATGACTTAAATGTAAGACACCTCGGGGGTTTGCATTGCAGTGTGCCTAAGAACAGCCCTATGCCATGGTATATTGGCCATATACCTCATGCCTTATTGCTTAAATACATAGCATCAGCAATCCAAGGTCTTTTTACCGAATTGTTTTTAGCAGCTACACTACACTATACTTTCCTAGTCGTGCTTACACCAGCCTCTCCACAGCTCGCGCGTTAGCGGGTTCAAAATAGGGGGCATCCGGATTTGAACCGGAGACCTCTTGATCTGCAGTCAAATGCTCTACCACTGAGCTATACCCCCGCTGTACAACGAAAGGAATATAAAAGCTCATTATTCTAAGGATATCGTAAATTGTGTTCATAAATTAGGAAAACATTATTTTATGCCGTACAGTTGTTCTTTTCGGTAAAAAATAATAATGTATTTCATGGTTTATCGACGTTTTTCAAGACATGTTCGTCTGTTTGGAGAGCGCAAACCGTGCATTCGTTTCCTCCACTAAGAGGCGACAAATACATGCGTTTCCTGGGTGCTTTCAGTACAGTACACACAGTATTTTATATAGACTATCAATATATATATATATGTTATGAACATGCGTGCGCCCTAAACACATTAGATAAAAAGATGGGTTTGGTCACAGTGGTAAACCTCAGATAGTAAAACTAGTCCTGTCGTGAATTTCATTCGTGCATTTGCTATATAACAACAACAATAACCACTCACATTACACATTTCGACCAGGTTAATCCATTTACATGAGCCGTTTATGGTGGGGCCTTGGTGATGACACAATTAAGGGTGGAGAATGTTGTTAAAAGCGTGACCACGGAAACCAAAAAACGTGCGAAAGGGCCTGTTCGGAAGACTGCAAAAAAACACCTCTGCAGGCCTTACCACACCCCAGCCACTTGAAATGACATTTAGGTTTATTTGTATCACAACAAGGAGATTGCGTGCCTCAGAATTTCAAAAGTAAATCTGGTGGTGATAGAAACGTGTGAATGACTAGAGAATGACTCTGACTGCAGGAATACAATAGGCCTGCAATACAATGAATTACCTTCCATCAGGCATTGCTCCTACACTTCCTACACAAGGGATTTGAAGGAATGGGTACCATTTTAACAGCTAGTTTGTCCTAAATGAAAGATAATCCGATGGGTTATACCATGTACAATAAATATAGGCCTAATAGTTTGATGGCAACAATGTCTGACAGTAATAAACCTAACCATTTTACTGTAACAGTTATGATCAGGTAACAAGTTTTAGACTGCCAGCTGATATTATGAGTGCCCATTGCTATTGTCTTTTAAATTGTGTCTTGTACATAAGATTGTCCACTGTATGGTCCACAAGTACCTATGTAACTACTTTAACTTAGTCAGGGATAACCATAACTATTCCACTAGAAGGAGTGAAACCAACATTGTTCCTTTCAGATTTAAGAGTGGTATGGGGAAAGAAACCGTTTTGGACTAATTTGTTTTCTGACATTCTTTGGAATAGTCTTCCAAAGAACTTGAAATTCATAACCTCCATGATCATTTTCAAGTTCTCACACATAAAATGGCTAAATAGTAGCATGTCTGCAGTCTAAGACTACAGTATGTGGATGAGAAGAAAATGCCTCGGGATAGTATATGGGATGACTTTTGGTGCCTATTGTGTATCATATTTTGATTGTCTTGTATATATTTGGGATTGATTGTTGTATATATTAGGGATTGATGGCTGTATATATTAGGGATTGATTGTTGTATATATTAGGGGTAAATGAGACAAGGGCGATGAACCTGTCCAGGGTTGTTTATTATGGAAATGGAACTGTACTATTATGAAACAAACAAAACATGTGTCTGTCATTGTCTGTAGCTACTACCATTGCTGCCAAACCTTGCTGCAAATCTACACATTTAGCCATGGAGCGGAGAGAAGATTGAGCAATTTTAGAACTCATTTCATGCAATTCTACACATTTTGCCATAGGGTGGAGAGAAATGTTTGATATCTGAGTGAGACTGAATAACAAAATCAATGGGGGCCCCCCAGTCGTTCAACCATGATAACAAGTTAAATAGCTGGCAGCTAAACTAACTTAACAATCTAAAATATGTTAGCTGACATGGGCTAACATAACAAGAGAAATACTGCTGCTGCACAACCAAATGTCAAAATAGCACCTTGTCTATTCTACTATTCTAACTCGCAACAGTAAATTGAGACCCCGACTGAGTTCCAAAAAAAAGAAAACAAATATTTTGTATATTTTTGGGAGGGGGGATTGATCTGAGGGCCTTCAAAAGTTCCTCGGCGTGCGCATCACATA